CATTTATCATTGCTGCCCTCGCATATCCAACAAACTAGACAGTGATTAACAAGGTTTAACATTTTAATTACCGAAAATTGAATTTGAATTTTACGTGATAAAATGTATAGAGAAGCCCTTTGGCCTAAGGTTTCATTCCCAATATTATTATTGAGTTGTGCACATTAAAACAATATGGGAAAAAAAACTGGTGTGGCTTCAAAATTTTTCCTCTACAGAATCTTTATATTATAGAAAGGAGGCTACGAAATCAAATGAAATGAAGATTAAGGTTCACCATGGGCCTCTTTTGGCCCTGTGAATTTCTGAAAAATCAGAACTGCTCATTTTTACTTGAAAATATGTTACATTTCACTTGGACCCTTGGTGACTTCATATCAAATAAAAACGACATAATTTTTCTTCCTGTTCATGTATTATGTATTATGAAGTCATGAATTGCGTAATTTTCCTCAAATCTTGAAAATATCTTTAAAGTTTTAAGCCGTTTTTGAATATTTTGCATAACCCCCAACCTCCGGTCTAAAATGTTAAACTATATAATGAAAGAAGTCTCGGAATATTCTAATCCATGAATCAATTTTTGGATCGCGGATGGGCTCATATTTTAATCAACAGTTGAAGATACTCAAATTCACTCTTTTTTCAGAATTCAAGAACATTGTCGTTTCACATAGTCTGAGTATCAAAACTTGGACTCTCAGAGGAATTTTTTTTTATAGGAAATGAAAGCACCAAGTCTCTGCATTATGTTCATGTTCTAAATAGGACGTAAGGACTTCGTCAGTTAATTGGTAATATGACAGGGTCATTTTATGGATTTAGTGAACCTAGCCATTTCTTATCCAAAGGCATAGCTTTTTCAGACTTTAATTGTAAATATTTAAACATTTACCATTTGAATTGCACTCTCCCTCAAAGACCCGATGGTACTTAATTGTAAATAAAGCATAAATAAAGCATAAATAAATTACAGTACGAGTCACAAACAGTAATTCTGTACGGAATCTCATAGCATTGAAAACATCGATGCTCAAAATTTGTCACAACAATAAAGTCGTAGTTCTTTCATATAACAGAAATTCAATAAAACTTTTTAAATTTACATCCAAAGGGTTCGATTAGCAGGCGATTTTTTTCTGCATTAACTTATTTTATTCTGGATTCTTTGCTGGTTACCCAAGTTTTAATTGTACATTCATCTAGAGGCAAACATTTGTTGGAACTGCTTTCTAATGACAGAATCGGATCCGATTTCTATTTCCATTAAGAAATGTTAAACTTTCTTTTATGAAATAAGCAAAGCATTTGAACTTTTAATTTTTAGCATACAATGCGGGGTGCGATCAACTTCCCGTACACGCAACACAGCAGCCCTCAGGATATAGTTACCCGATGTCGAGAACTTCAGCCAATATAGTTGTAAGTTTGTGGCCAAATATATAGATATGTCAATCCTTTATTCAACTTGATTCAAATACAGCAATGCTTCACGTTAATTTTAAGTACAGTGTGTTGAAGCGAAAAGCTGTATTTTCTATTTTCATTATTGCGAAAGTTATCGCCCTTGTCGTTTTTAATTAGTCATTATATATTTACTTAGATAAAAACTTAATAAGTACTAGTAGTGTTGAATCCGAATTTAAGTTATCAATTATAATCATTGTTTGTTTCTTTAGATGAATTGATACAAGTTTGTTGATTAAAAGCTTGATTAGTGTTTTTATTACTTTGTAAATAAATAATCACTAAGTATTTTATATGGTGTTAAGGTATATAGGGATTTTGACGGAAAAGGCTTTTGAAGTCAATCTTAACAACTCTTTAGAGTGTATGTAAGTGTGCGGACTTTTCTGCATATATTGTACTGTTAAAAGCAGTAAGTGTGTGTTCATCCCTGGTTATTGCTTGACAGAGTCTCTGGTCATCCCTGCTCTGTAAATAGCATCTCTAAGCAACAAGTGTGCGGACATACCTACTTGTTGCTGCGCAAAATCAGGTTTGAGGACATCCCTGCCTGCATTTTTTGGTGGAGTATTGGTGTGCGGACATCCGTGCCGGTGTCTCTATTCTAGAACCGTGTTTAGTGTCAAGTGTGCAGTCATCCCTGCTTGTCACTGCGCAAGGGCAAGTGTGCGGTCATCCCTGCTTGTCTATTGTGGAAGTGCGCTGGTGTGTGGATTTCCCTGCAATTGTCATTTGTTCGCTACCAGTAGAAACCTTATATACGCTGTACCAAGTGATTAAGATTGCGCATTGTATATATTTGCAGCATCTCAGGGCTATCCGTTTCTATCACGGGTACGAGCCCGCGGGGGTTCACAGGCAGTGCCCTCCCTTGCACGTTACAGTGTGAACTGAAATTTTAAGGAAAAAAATATTATGAATTACAAGTGGACAATCTGATTTTTCGTGATAAAATACCGGTATGTACATTGTAAATTCTTACTGAAGTTGTTGTTTTCCTTTTACCTTATAGGTTAATAGTGCCTCTACACCTACAGTTGTTGCTGCACAAAGAGAAAGCGATTGGCTAGTGCCCGCCATTTTTGCCTGTCTATGCTGTTTCTGGCCCCTTGGCGTTTTTGCAATTAATGCAGCTGTTAATGTATGTTTGTCTTCTCAAAAAAATCAATTTCTATACATGATTTTATATATAATGGTATGGTAGGAACTGTATGTACGTAGAAATGGATTTCATAATTAGATTCAATTTGTACGCCAAGAGCTATTATTATTATTATATATAGTTATAATTTAGATTACAACTAGAGGTGAGCTCACTAAATGATGCCTCCGCATCCCAAAATATGTAAAATGTAAAATAGGAGGTGCACAATGGTAATATGCAATAACATCTTCGCTAGCCAAGGGTTTCAGATACGCTACTATCCTCATGAATCCTTGGCATTCGGTGAAGTCAAAAGACGGGATTGTTTTCGTAACGTGATCTCAAATGTATCAGGGATGCACTGATTGCGTCATCGACAGAAATAAAGACGTGAGTTTAAAAAAATAAAATGAAAGTTGTTTTCCAAGAATAATGAAGAAGCAATAATTGAGTTATCTTTATTTATTATTTATAGTACAAATTTGAAGCTTTAATATAGATTCTTAATTACATATTTAGAAGATATTGGATGACACCATAGCTATTCATAGAATTGCAAGTTTGTTTACTTGCGTTTTTCTTTCCGAGATTAAAAAGTAAAGGTGTATCCCGAACGCAAATATTGTCATTTACAAAAACAGTTGCTGATTGGTCGACTGGGTGTACCGAATCCCAATCAGAACTCGAGAAAAAACCCAAATTCTACAATGTATCAACACCGCATGCCAAGGGATTATGAGGAGAGTAGCGTATCAGAAACCCTTGGCTAACGAAGATGATGTAATAAAGATTCTTTGAAAATCTCATCAGATTTCATTCAGAGGAGTTGTGGATAAGAGATGGGTACCCCAAAGCCTAAGAGACGGACGTACAGACGAACGGACGGACATCCCGATTACTATATACATTTCTATTTTTCAAGCGGGGTTATAATAAAAACCCATCTGAATTTTATTTTGATGGTTTTACATACATGCTTAAAATTAACAGTTGTTAATTTAGGTTCGCTATTTTTTTTACTTCGTCAGGCAAGATCCCATTACGACGAGGGTGACTATGTACATGGAAGATCCTATTCAAGATCGGCTAAACAGTTGACCTTGATTACACTCGTATTCGGCAGCCTCTTCATTACTGGCTTTATTATCTACCTTTTCAGATGAAAGAGATTAACGAACGAACAGGAGCAACCACACAAAACCCCTTTGGGATCTAAAGTGTTAACTTTGCTTTAAATATTATATATTAAATCATGACCAATTTATTTGTACTTTATACTAGTATTCAATGAGCATAGAGTTTTTAATTCTTGATTGTAACTAATGGACATTTTTCATACTCAAATTAACATTCGAATTTATAAGTTAACCTGCTTTCTTTCACTTGGTCATGTATTAGTTTGAACAAAAAATGTTATCCTGTCTCCAAGAAATGCTATCCGATCAACTGTGAGTTTTTTCCCAGATATTTCAAATCAGTTGTAATTGTCTTCAAGTTACTAACTTCAGTTTTGCACTGTCTAGTAAAATTTATTTGCCATGCTGTTTTGTGATTCATATACTGTACAGTAGCTGAATAAAATGGAATAAAGTTCAACCAGATAAAGGGAACTTTCAAATTCAGTCTTCATCACAGGAAATGTATGGTATTGTGGGGTCTAAAATGAACTGATTCATCTTTCTTTCAAATTTCTTAATCACCAGAGTCTAATTACAGGATCATGATTCCCGAACCAACCGTTTACTAAAGTAAAAACACATGATGATGGTAAGTACAGGAACGGCAAGATATAAAAAGTCTTATTAAAATAAAGCTGAGTATTAGGAATGATTTTTGTCCGAAACGCCCCCTCCAACCGGACTGTAAATGTAACAAGGGACATTACATTGTATGAGTCTGAAAGTTAAAAAAAGTGAAGATAAATTAAATGTGTAAGGACTAACCCTAATCAGGCAAACAGTGTGCATCAAGAACCCTAATTGTGCAAATAGTGTGCGAGGACTAATCCTAATCAGTCAAACTTGTGCGATAGTTAATCCATATCTGTATAACAATATGTGAGGGATAACACTAATCATTCTCAAACAGTGTGCTAGATCTAAAAACAACGTGCAAGGTTGTTCCTTATTCAGTCAAACAGTTTTCGGGAACCAACCCTAATCAGTCAATCAGTGTACAAGGACTAGCCTTAATCGTGCAGTTAAACTGTGTTCAAGGACTAACCATAATAAGTAAAACAGTGTTCGAGGACTAACCCTTATCAGTCAAACTGTGTGCGAAGACTGATCCTAATCAGTCAAACAGCGTGCGAGGGATAAACCTAATCATGCAATGAAGCTGAATGCGAGAACTAACCTTATCTTTGAAATGGATGGGTGGGATACTTATTCTGATCAATGGAATTGTATGCAAGGATAAATCCAGTCTCTAAGTTGTGGTATAGACTACGTGGTACAGACTAATTAAGGTCATCTTTTAAAAAATGTTTCGTTGCTCTCTCTCGACAGACTGACTAAAAATGGCCTGACTCAAAACATATTTTATATTCCTGAGGACATTATGTTATTTATTTTCTTTGTATTCCTCTTATCTCGTCAACAAATATGTTGAAATTTTTTGGAAAAACAGATCTATCCGTAAATCTTTCTAGGTAATAATTTTACAATGAGTCGGGCAAACAAATACACCCCTAAAGATCAGTCATTCTTATGTCGACACGATGTATCCCGACGAGCTTGAAATAAAAGATACCACAGAGTCTGACTACGAAAGCCCATTTAGGACCTATCAAAAAATATTTTTAAATTCGTTATAACGATTTATTGAATTCGTTATAACGAATTTAATTTGTTATTTCAGATTTATTGAATTCGTTATAACGAATTTAATTTGTTATAACAGATTCATTGAATTCGTTATAACGACTTTAATTTGTTATAACAGATTTATTGAATTCGTTATAACGACTTTAATTTGTTATTATAGATTTATTGATTCGTTATAACGAATTTAATCTGTTATTACAGATTTGTTGAAATAGTTATAACGAATTCAAAAATATTTTTGATAGGTCCTAAATGGGCTTCCGTAGTCTGACACATCTGTTTTATATTTAAATCTTTCACTAGAAAAAGACGTTGTTTATCTAACAACAAAGCTTTATAATAAATGTGATGACTTTAAATTTTCAATCATCAACTTCCCTTACTTATGCAACAATATACGAGGGCTGTTCAATAGATAATTACTTCGGTGCTCGAAATGAAGCAAAAGATGATTTTTAATAATTTAGTCTGACTGATTTAACTTAAATATTCTCTTTGAATTAAACCATATAAGAATTTGAACAACAAGACCTCTAATATTTAAGAAAATGGTATATAAAACTGTCTTTGTGCTCGTATAGTTCTTCGCTCTTTCCAGACCTTTGCTATTTTTGTAAAGTGCATCTTATTCTAAAAATGTTTTGAGGGTAAAAAAGCAATGAATTCAAGTTTCATATTCTGTGTGAATTTCAGAAAATTGTGGCGACAAGGACTTACAACAACCAATGTACTGTTTGCCGAAAATCAGCAAATTATCACTGATGATGTTTGATTGACTCTAAGACACCTAGCAAAACTGATAGTCATCATTTCAGGGCTAGTTTACACTGTTTTAAAGAAACATTAATTTTGACAGTAAAAAAGCTTAGTACTCAGGGGTCACCCTATGTTTTGAAAAATGAGTGAAAACGACGGTGTGTAAGAATACTAATAGATACAATTATTTTTTAAAAAAAAACAAAAATTGAAGCTATTCACGTTTGTCTGAAATTCAAACAGATAATGAAAAATGATCCATTGCCTTAAACCCTCACAACCAATTTTCAATAAGATGCGCTTGATAAAAACAGCCAAGGTCTGAGAAGAGCAAAGAATTGCAAAAGCACAAAACAATTTTATATATAATTTTATTAAATGTTAGTAATCTTGTTCAAATTCTTATTCGGGGAGGCAGTTCAATTTCTGGAGAAGTCTGGAAAGCAAATTTTGCTAAAAAAAAAATCGAAAGTATTATTAGAGGATGGAACCAGAATCAGGAATCCACTATATCAACTTTGTTTATGACAGCGTCCAAACCCACACGCCACGAAGAGTTAGGTTTTGGGGATAAACACATAGTTAATGTTTTGCCACACCAACAATGTGCGCCAGATTTTCCACCCTTTGACTTGTTTCATTTTCCAAACTTGAAAAAACAACAGCATTCAAAAAGAAGAAACAAGTCTAGGAAATTATAGGATCTGCCATATTCCAGTATACGATGGGCCGTACTCAAAAATGTGTTATAAAAACAATCAAAAATTGGATTAAAAAGTTACTGACAAGTGGTTTAATTAAAATAGAATATTTAAGTGATATTATTTAGACTAAATCATTTAAAAGCGTTTTTTGTTTCTTCCCGAGCACCGAGGACATTGTTTAATAGCAGCCTTGTATCGTGACGTCCTGTCGAGCAGAGTTTAAAGTAGAACAGAATAGGAGAACATTGTTGAATAACCCTGCAAGAACTTAGATGTATGAAATGTATTTATTTTTTACAGATATTTTTCTAAATAATCGATCAACAAAATAAAAATTCGCAGTTTAATTACTAGTTATCTTTAGTTAACTATACTATATAATATAGCATCTATCTCGACCATATACGAATAAGATGCTTTTATCTTGGCAGCGCAATATTTCTTGGCGCAGTTATCTCTCCTTGTTTCGGCACGAGTTATCTAACTTTCAATTATATAAAGAAAGGTGCTCGGGCTGCAAACTCTCTCTTTGCCGGTCACACGCTAGTTGCAAGGCTGGTGTTGATCAATTTTGAGAAAACAATGGCTAAGTGTAGATTTTAGAAATAGATTCTTGCTTTAAAAAGTTTTAATTGCTATTACTAATTTTATGAACTCGTATTGTTTACTTATCTATTCGATAACAAAGGTTTTAATTTGGATAACAAGGTCAGATTCATTTCAATTTGTCTATTTGCATCACCATGTGCTAGCCGCCATCTTTGTCCCAAGTGAAAAAAATTTAAAGTAATCGAGTAATATCATGTAGGCCTAATCGATAATAATTTTATAACTCTATTTCATGCAAATCTATGACTAATTGACTCTTTTCAGCTTCATTTCTTAGTAACTGAGGACTATTTATTTAATTTAAAAAAAGGATACATGAATTAATAAGAACAATACAGGTAAGCATATAATTATTTCGTTACAAACAGTAAAATTACTTTATATCATTGATGATAACACCAACTTTCAAACTGGTGTCTACAGGTTTCCAGCTTGTAGAATTAGTCTCTGCTTCCACTCATTAAAAACTAACCCTAAGTGCACAGGAGAAATTGTAACAAAGAAAAATGTCTCAAACATTTCCATTGAAAAATGGACGGATGTCATGCTCATGTTGGCATCTGTCTACATATCTGCCCATCCAGATAAAGCAATTATTATAGATATCCTAAGTTTGTCCATACAGTTCACTTGGGGTTTAAATATGTCACGCAGTATCGTCTTCGGAAATCTACAGATTTCTTGGGCCTTAGTTGACTTTAAATCCTAGTTATCGGCTGGAATTTCTCCAGACTCAACGCTCTCAAATAAACAAAATGTGCGTTGATTTCAATTTTAAGGGGTCCTGTAGTCAAATATGTGTCAGTACATGCGCACTTGTACAAATGGTGTTGGCATGCACACAATCATACAATGCAATTTTCAAAGAGCCCAGGTAATAAAATACCAGTAGCTCATTCGAACGCACCTACTCCTTTTGAACCCAGCCCATGCAACCATGCAAATTTACAATATAGAAATCCATATACAAGACATCAAGCTACAGCAAACTCTTAACAAAAAACCTCAGTCCCACATCCAAAAATACAAGAAAAATGGCTAAAAATAATTTGGCCGTAGGAAACATACCAATTAAAATTTCTATATTAAAGATGATCCGACGCTGCTCGTTCTCCAAACAAACCTGTAGCAACAAATTGTTGAGTGCATGGTTTTTTTCTCAGGGGTTTAGACTTTATAACTCAAGTCCAATGTTACATATAAAAAATAACAATTTAATTTCAGTTTATCAATACAAAGCAGGAATAATAATGATAAAATAATAATAACAGAAGTTGAATTAAAGGGGGGGGGGTTATTACCCATATGTAATCTCAGAGTATCTCCATTGGGAGTGGTACCAAAGAGGGATAACTCTGGGTGGCGATTGATAACGCACCTTTCATATCCTACAGACAGCAGTGAAAATCACCATATAAACCATAGTAAGTTCACAGTTATTATACATCTTTCGATAGTAATAAAAATGTTGGCCAAGGCTGGTGAAGGTGTATATTTTGTAAAGTGGATATTAAATCAGCATTTAGGTTTCTACATGTGTTCCCGGGGGATTTTGACCTTTTAGGATTCAAAGTTGAGGGTATATATATTACTTTGTTAAATGTCTTCAAGGCATCTCCCTTTCTCACACAGAGCTTTTAAGAATTTCAATTATTCTTGCACTGGATTTAAAAAAATT